CTTGAGGCAGAGGAATGTGCCCCGGAGGTTGTATGCATAGGCTTCATACTGGTCCAGATCGCCCAGCTCCATGGCCTTCTCGAAAGCCTCGGCGGCCTCCTCGTACCCCGGACCAGTCTTGTTCTCCAACGCCTTCAGGCCCTTTTGAAGCTGGCCCTTTCCGGTCTCCTCGGACAGTTCCACGGAATCCTCCAAGCCATACGGGCGGGGCTTGGGCCGGAAGCTCTGGAGGTAGTTCCCGACGAAGGTGGAGCTGGGGAGCCTGGCGGGCTTGGACTCCATGATCTCCTTCGCCTTGGTCTCGGCGAACTTCTTGAGCAGACGCTCGACGGCCTGTGCGCTCTGCTCGTTCCTGAACCCGTCGATGATGCAGCTCGCGGTGAAGTCGAGGAGGGCCTCGCTGTACTTGCCCAGGTGGTCGTAGGCATTGGCGCGGCGGTTGAGCGCTTTGATGTACTCGGGGTCAAGGTTGACAGCGGCCGTGGTGTCCTCAACCACCTTCTCCCACTGACTGAGAGCATTGTAGCAAGCAGCCCTGTTAGAGTAGAAGACCGGGTCCGGTTTGCACAGAATGGCCTTGGAGTAGAGACCAATTGCCTTGTCGAAGTCCTTGGCCTGGTAGGCCTTGTTGCCGGCTTCCTTCAGCTTGGCACCATACTCTTTGCGCTCAGCGTCAGAAAGACTCAAGACGGTGGTCTCGTCGACCTCTGGCACCGCGTCGGCAACTTGGACACTGGCAGCCTTGGCAGCGGAAGCACCGGCGTCGGCTTGCGGTGCGGGCGCGCTAGTCTTCGCAGTCTCTGCTTCCCTCTCGGCCTGCTTCCGTTTCCGCCTCTCCTTCTTACTGAGCTTCGGGGTTGCGTCGTTGGATTCCTGTGGGGAAGGTCGAGGGTCAGCGGTGTTCCTGAACTCGGTGCCGGTCTGGTGCTCAGCGGGCAGGCGAAGGGAAGACGGGGACTAACCTGACCAGGGCCGTTGCGAATATAGTAGACGGCACCGGCGCCCGTGATGACAACGGCCACACCAGCAATGGTGTAGACCACCGCCTTGTGTTCCGAGACCCATGTCGAGACGCGATCCCACAGCGACGAATCGGCCGGTATTGGTGCCGAGGGCGACCCCATGGGGCCTGTGGGAAGTGGGAGTGTGGGAGCCATGGCTCAGATAAGAGATGGATGGGCTAGACGCAAGAAAGAATGCGAGATGCCAAGATGCCGAGATGCCGGGACCTAGGGAGCGTGGTTGATGTCGTGAGCCGACGCGGTTTCGGGTCGATTCGATGGTTGTATGGATAGGTGCTCGATGATGCAGGTCCGCATCAAAGCTGGTCGGCTGCGGGCAGTTGTTCAGAGCCGAAGCTTGGAACAAAAAAACTCGAACTGTGACGCGCCCAATTGCAGCACCGCAGTGGAACCTTGACGCTGTTTTCCCGGAACTGCCTGCCCTGGGCTAGCGCAGTGTGGGTCCCTACCCTGCCCATGGTCCAAGCTTTCAACCGGTAGCAGCAGAAAGCGGTTATGGGGAATACCTGAGTGGGCCCCTAAAGTCGTATGTACTCTAACTCCGAGCTGTCTGTCAGCAACCAACACCAATGGTTGACAGTGAGAGATATCACCGACTTCCGAATATTTCATGAATCTTACGGTGAATAAGTATAATCTGCATTTGGTTCTTGCTGGCTTTTTCCTCGGATTATTCGAACCTTTTTCACCATCACGGCCATTGTCTCGTCGAGTTCGTCGAGTCCAACTGCAACATGGCAGACGCGGAGGGCTTCCAGCTCTTTACCTCCCTCCGCTATGATCCCATGCTCCGCCAGCCCCTCGCCAACGTTCTCTGCCATGGGGCATGGGACTCGCCCCTGTACATGCTGGAGTACCATCGGGACCGCATGCTAAGAGCAGCAACGCACTGGGGCTGGGATGCGGCTGTAGAGGTTCTACGCGGCGAGGCCGGCTTGAAAGGGCTAGTGGGTTTTATCATGGGCCACATTGGGGAAACCCAAACTTCCCCAATGAAAGTGAGGGTATCCATCACAAAAGACGGCAAGCTGCGCATAGACTGCGCCCCGGTTCCCGAAAAGCCCATTGCAAGTCTCTTCCCGAAGCAGCTCCCTCCCCCTGGGCCTCAGGAGCCCCAAAACAGCGGTGTTAGCCAAGGCATCCCTCTCAAGACTCTAGAGTACGAAGTCCTGCTTGACGGCTTAGGGACTACGCCGTCAGAGTACACTCACTTTAAGACGACAGAGCGAGCCATGTACAACGGAGCAAGGCAGCGGGCGCAAATCAATCTACCTGACATGAAAGAGGTCCTCATTGTCAGCGAGAAGAACGGGGCTGTCATGGAGGGTTCTGTAACAACGCCGTATTTCTGGAGGGAGGGGAGATGGGTCACGCCTGTTGTGAGTAAGGGGTTCAGTTTGGAGAATGGCAGCGGGGGACAGAATGGCACGTCGAGAAGATGGGCGCTTGAGAGGTATTGTCGACAACCTATCACCATGTCCGCGAAGTTCATCTCTAACAAAATGCAGCGGGCTTGCCGTCGAAGACACTGTCCTGGCAGAGTCGCTGATAGACGCTGAAGAGTGCTGGTTGAGCAACGGCGTGAGAGGATTCTGCTTTGGGAAGATTAAGCTGGGCTGAGGTCAACGCCCGCAATCGAGAGCCGGTCCATTGCCCAGGTCCCCGAGTCACATCTCGTGGGGCCTGTGAATCTGTAAACCTGTGCTGTCAGATTTGGGTCTTGGACGTCAAAGTGTCACGAGCTCGGTTCCGTTGGAAACAAGCACCACCTCCGGCGCTACTTCTATCACGTCCCGCGTCGTCCATGGAAGCCCGAGTAGGCGGCCGCAGTCAGATAAGCGCCGATACTCACCGACTGTTGCTGCGAGTATGAATCAGAGTGTGCCTTCTCGACGAACCGTCGCTCTTTCCGAATCTAGCGGCAACACCCTTCAATGCGTCATATTCAGGCTTCCAGGGCCCTTTACAAGCTCACCCTTTCCCCCATCAAGCTCAGGCGGCCAGATAATAACGGCTGTCCGTACTCTGTTCTCGCCAGAGTTCTCGGTCTCCTCCTCCTTGTATTAAAACCCAGCACCTCTCCCGTGCCACGCACCCCCAGCCCTTCACAATCTCGTCTTTCAAAAAGCCCATCAAGTATCCCGGTTTCTAGTAACCATTCTCAAGCTCCTCGTCGTGTGTTTTCCAGCAGAACCCGGATCAACATGGAAACCACCCGCGCACCCCCACCCCCCATGGAGGTTATCTTCGAATCCCAGTCCAAGCTGCGCCAGAAGTTCGGCCTGCACAAGGTCAAGGCTATTCACAACACCAAGTACCAACGCCACGGCACCAAGTCCTACGTTTCTGTTCTAAACCGATTTGGCTTCCAACCCACCAAGCCGGGTCCCTACTTCCAGAAGTTCACCACGGACAAGACCGCGCCAGGTACTCCATCCACTTCCTCGGTAGGCCTCTTCAAGCGGACCCAAGACGACAAGCCAGGGAAAGTGACTGCTGAGGACCAGCAAAACGATTCAGAGTACCTCTGCGAAGTCTTGATCGGCACCCGTCCTCAGAAGGTTCTCTTGGACTTTGACACCGGCTCCGCCGATCTCTGGGTATGGCATTCAAGCACCCCATCACAATGTCATGCTAAGACGACGGAATACAGGTGAACCCGAGCAAATTCTCCCCAGAGAAGTCTCACTCATTCAAGCTCGCGAAGGACAAGAGCTGGAAAATCCAGTATGGTGACGGCAGCTCAGCCTCAGGCATCGTCGGCACCGACGTTGTGACGATTGGTGGTCTTTCCATCGAAAACCAGGCCATTGAAGTTGCAACGCAGCTATCCCCCCAGTTTACCGAGGGCGAGATGGACGGCCTTCTTGGCCTCGCATTCCGCCAAATCAACACCATCCAAACCGCTGGTGAACCGGACCCACAGCCGACCCCCATCGACAACATGATCTCCCAGGAGGACATCCCAGATGATGCCGAGCTATTCACCTCGGCCATGTACAGCACCAGGGACGACGGCAAGGAGTCGTTTTACACGTTCGGCTGGATCGACCAGGACCTTGTGAAGGAGTCAGGAAAGGAGATCTCGTGGACCGACGTCGACAACTCGGAAGGCTTCTGGATGATCGGCAGTGAGAGCGCCACACTCAACGGCAAGAAGATTACTCTGTCAGGCAACAAGGCCATTGTCGATACTGGCACGACCCTCGCCCTGGTTTCAGACGATGTCTGCGACAGCCTGTACAGTCAAATCACAGGCGCGACGTACCGCGACACTTATCAAGGCTACATCATCCCCAAGAGCATCACACTTGATGAGCTCCCGGTGTTCAGCATCGCCATTGGTGACCAGGAGTTTGTGATTCAGAAGGAAGATCTACTCTTCGCCTCAGCTGATGATCAGTACTGGTATGGGGGGGTGCAGTCTCGCGGACGAAACCCCTTCGACATCCTCGGCGACACGTTTCTCAAATCCATCTACGCGGTAGGCACTTTACGTTTCAAGCATGGAGCAACAGCTGACTGGGATACAGATTTGGGACCAGGGCCACGGCCGTTTTGGTGCCGTCCCCAAGATTGAGAAGACCCAGAATATTGAGCCCCCTCCCTTGTCCTCAACTGGCGACCGGGACAGCGAGAAGTCTTCGAAGCCATCGCGTCACACACACAACCCCGATCTGAAGAAGTAACCACCGGGTACCCAACTGTCTCATGTTTGGTTTCCCGACACAATATTGTTACGACATTTTTATTGCTGTAAGGTAGAAAAGAAAACTTCTTTGCGTTCGGGTTGTAGTAGTGCTTAAATCTTCTAAGTTTATCGACCTTTCTAGTAGCAGTATTGCTAGTCGTCTACGAGAATATGAACCTGCATTCCTGTTGCCCATTTGTTGATTGTTCATGCCTCCTGACTAACTTTATGGGAAAAAAGACAGAGGGACAAAAGACAAAAAGACAAAAGGAAAGACAACATATGAATGACAAGGGCGAGATTCGAACTCGCGCCCCTTTCGAGACCAGGAAACTTGAACTGGGAGGTTCAGAGATTGAATTCAGGTGGACCTGAACCTGGCGCCTTAGACCGCTCGGCCACCTTGCCGTGGAGTTGTGTTGGGTGGATATTGTGGGGGCAGCGAGTGAGGGCTCATGTGCTGCTGGGCTGTGGCCAGGGGATGGGCCTGGTGGGTGTTGAGAAGGCCGTTAAACTATTCTCGTTCAATGCATGTGTGGTGGTTGGATGTGAAAGGACTGGCAAGGCTAGAGTAAGGGGGTTTAGGGGGTGCCGACACAGAAAGAATGTTCCTAGGCTGGGAAATCCCGAGATGATTCATGCGTGCCGAGACAGAGCTATGAAATGCGGTATGCGGCAATATATGCAGTATTGGGCATTGTGGCGCAGTTGTTTAAGCAGTCTTCTGGAGAACAGCCAAAACACCAATTAAAGGCGAGATGCAGCGCGAAGCTGTGTAGTGCGGTTTTGCGATGGCAAATCGGAATGTTGGCCCTGGAGAAAACTTGACGTGCTGTCAAGTCAGAGGCTGCGATGCAGGGTTTAGAGCAGTGACACACATCTCCAAAACACATCACGAAATATGGTCGTCATGGATAGCACTATCGAGTACCTTGTTGAGCCGTTCTCGTTGGAGAAACTCTGGGCTACATTGTAGATCTCCTGGTCTCCCCTGCCAGAGGATTCTGATATGTTCGCGTATGGATGGTGACGAAACAGGCTCCGGACAGGACATCCAGGCCATGGATGCATCCCATGATTGCCGGGGTGGCGCCCGCGTTCCCTCCAGTGCCGTCACGATTGGTTCAAACTGTCCAAGCAAATCGTCAGTGGACAGGGCTAACGCGGTTCTGGGATGTCGCGCGAGTTGCGAGCTGTCGTACGCGACGGGGGCGCCCTGAAACGGCGGGAGCCGCGTTGGTCACCACCACATCCCGCTTCTCTGCCTCTCTCTCTGCCTCTGCCTGGGAGATGCGTGGCCGGCGCCTTGTCCAGAGGATGTCGGTCGCATCTCCCGTTGGCTCCGTGTGGTGGCACGAACAAAATAGTTGGCCTCAGCACCTCGACCACGAGGTGGGTTGTAGAGAAGCTTGTGCTCCCGCAGTTGGCCTGTCGTTTCCGAGAGCAATCATGACGATGGGGAAGTTGCCGTAGAAGAAAAGTGGCAGTGGGAATTGGCTCACGTTCCAGGCTGATGGGACGCTGGAAGCGGGCTCACACTGTGTAAATTAGCCGAAAGTGGGAAGATTGTGCAGCTGTGCAGGGGATTCTGCACAGTCTCGTATTGATTTATTACACTGTGGCAGTCAGCCCCAACTCGAACCAGCATCTGCTCCCCAATCTCAATTCCAACTCCATCCCGTTAGGACTCAAAAAAAAAGACGACGCCATCTCTCGCGCGCCTGCCTCGTCGATCCACCGGCTTGCTCTAGCCCACGGCGCTCCAATTCTCTTCTTCCCGACCCCGTTCATCAAGAGGGCGCCAGCGGAGCCACTTCGCCTCTGTTAGCTTCCCCTCTGCCTTTTGGTTAGTTATCGCTGCAGCGGGGAGCACGGTTGCTCAGGCAAGCCTGGACAGCCCTGCTTTGACCTGCTTGGACGCGGCCTATCCCATCCGGACTTGACACGAAAGCTTAGAAGCTCGCAACCTTGGCTTTCAGCAGTTTCATCAAGCTCGCGTTACCCGTTTACAGACTTTGCTCTTTCCGCAGGCCCGACGTGCACTGTTTGCCTGCCTTCACCATCGGTCGATTCTGCACCGCAGGACGGTTCTGGCCGCAGGCATTTGCTTTTTTTGCCGCGTGCGCGAGACAGAGACCCCAAGTCCAGCTACGCTCGATATCCTCCACACACACCAACGCATGATCGAGGGGCCCCGACGTCATCGCAGCTCCCTGCACCCCAACGCTCCCTGCGCCGCGTATAATCTCCCCGCCGACTCATCGCCGAGCCGGCCCTCCCGACACACACAATGGCCGCCGCCGCGGGCGTACGACGAAGGAAAATCATCGGCCACCGCCGCCGCGTCGAGGACGAGGATGAGGGCGGTCCTGAGGCTCTGGCCGACCTCGACGACGACTCGGTGACCGATGGCTCCATCGCTAGCGACGAACACGATCCCGCTGACGACAGCGATACAAGCAACATCGACGATGCGTCGCCAACGTCACCTAGTGCTCGAAAGCCTGTGCGTAACGGCACCGCAAAGGGCGGGTTGCGCCGCCAGGCAGGCATCGAATCCAAGAGTTCCCCGGCGAAATCTGCCCCGCCAACGGTGGCCGAACCTGAGATCATGCTCAGCCAGCTGTCCCTTGCCGACCGAGAAAACACAACAGACGAGATTCACTTTGACGATATCAAGCCGGCACCACACGTGAAGGACGCGGCCCCGATTGTCGTGAGCTCCAGCTCGGCCACGCAACAGCAGCCACGATTGCCTCAACAAGAAGTAAAGCGCCGGGAGCACGAGGAGTACAGACGGAAAAGGGACGAAGACCCGACCTTCGTACCCAACCGCGGCGCATTCTTTTTGCATGACCACCGCCACGCCGGTCCTGCGGCCAACGGCTTCCGGCCGTTTCCCAGGGGCGCCCGTGGCGGCCGTGGGCGAGGGGGGTTTGGAGGACACTTCGCTCCGATCCCGTAGGTTGACTTGCCCCTTTTGTAACTCGGTGTTTCTCTGCTTTGTGCTAACCGCTTCTTCTAGTCAGGTACACAGCATCCCCGACCCGATAACGAATGGGGTGTGGAAACATGACATGCATGACGCGGTCGTCGCGCCCCAGCAACCTCGGCAGACCCGTTACCTTCCCCACAACGAAGGGCCGCCGAACGGCAACGGCGTTATTACCACTGCACCGATGAGCAAGAGCTCCATCAACCGAGCCATGTCGACCGAAAAGCACATTGGCAATGCGACCATCCGGGTGTTCATCCCGAGTATGGGTGTGGCCAAGCACTTCCCTGGCATCCCGTTGAAGCAGTACACAAAGCTACCCGACCACCGCCCGCCTCTTCGGCGCGACAAGCCGGTCCGGGTTTCTATCCCCTATCACGACCCGCCCGTCATGCCCCGGTACATCTTCCCCGCCAGCGACAGGTCGTTTATCTTCATCCCACGAGCGATGCGGCCGAACCAGCAACAAACTAGGGGTAAGGGCCCTCGGTCGGTCTTGGGGTCGGGCGTCTTTTCCCGGGGAACAAGCGTATGGGGTGGGAGCGTCTATGGGAGCGTCTATTCGCCCAGCATCGCGCTCAGCCGCCGGTCATCGATTGCTCCTGACATTGGACGAGAGTTCATGCTCTCGCCGACTGGTTCCACCATCTCGCGGGCGCCACTTCCTGTCGACCATTCTAGGCCTGTTGTTCGGCTCCCCCCACCTTTTGCTCAACCGCCCGTTGCTGCCATGCCTGTCCTCACCAGGCCAACCGCTTTTGAAAATGCACAATTTATGATGGAGGCATCTATCAACGGGTTGCCGCCGCCGCAGACGCACCCTCTCCCGCAGAAACCCATGTTCCAGGAGAGCCGGCCGAACGCCATTCCAATGCACCAGCCGCGACCCCAAAAGACTGTTTCCGTCGAGAATATCGAATCCCCTGTCCAGCAGGGCGCAAACGCTCCTGCTGCATACCAGCAAGCCTTCCACCAGCAAGTCCCGCCGCAGCTTCCCAACGGCTTCACCCGGGACACCCACGCGCGCAACCCCTCCTACCAGTCTCAATTCTCGTCCACCACGCCCCTGTCTCAAATCCCGGAGCGCGCCATCCACGCTGCCCCCTTCCAACCCAACACATATGCCCAGCCCGGCTTCTACGGCCAGCCATACCCAACGATGCAGCCGCAGCAGGGCTTCTACTACCCCCCAACCTTCGGAGCCACGCTCACACCAAATGCAGCCGCCCCCGCCTTTGTCCCCGCAGCACAACAAGGCGGCTACCCGCAGTCTGCCCAAGGCGAGGCCGCTGGCGCCCCGTCGCAGGGCCTCGTGGCCCAGGAGATCAACGGCATGGTGTACTACTACGACCCCGCGCAGCTGCAGCCCATGCCCGGCTATGGCCCGCCGCCGTTCGCCGCTGCTGGCGGCCAGCACTATGGCCCGCCGCCGCCTCCGCCGCCTCCTCTCCCGCAGGCTGGCATGATGGGCGGCGGGATGATGACGCCGAGCCCGGACGCGTTTTATTACCACCAGCATCATCATCAGCAGCAGCAGCAGCAGCAGCAGCAGCAGCAGCCGCAGGGGATGGTT